GACGCGTTGCCGTTTTCTGCTTCAAGCCACCTAAGGGTCATGCGTGAGGGTCCTACCCCTCTTTCTTGCGCCCTCCCACCCACCCTTTCACAGCTCAGGTGGATCCTCCAGGGTCCAGCCGCGCAATGCTTTCGGGAAAAAGACACAAACACAACGCAAGCAAACCGAGGAGAATGTAGTCGCGTTAGGTCATGAATCCAGAAATTGCACGACATAGATTTGCTCATAATATCGTGACAGGCATCCAACATGCCATACACATGCTAATGCCATACAAACACAAATGAGGCAAATACGATTGAACTTAATTGTAACATGTGAATATGAAGCTGAACTGGAACATTGGTGTGCAGCGGGGACGTCGTGCTTTACATGAAATCGTTCAATGAAATGATGTTTGGTACCAGCAGTTAACATCAAGTTGCAACACAAACACGCGAAGCCTGCGTGGGCTGACCTTATCGTTTTCCGATGGCACTTGACAAGGAATCAGCCAGCATGCGCACAATAATAATTGGGAACCATTCGTGGGGAATCCACAAAGCCCACCTCAATCTTTATTGGACAAGTAGGCTATCCTGGCCTGGAAATGAGGGCTTGGGATTGCGCTCTTGAAACCAGAAACAACGAACGTGCACATTTGTCATACAATTTGCTTTTCGGAACCCGAATCGGCACCCTAAGTCCGCGGTAATTGGTTTCCAATTGTCCTGCAATAAATGAAGGTGAGCAAGTGCGCGGCAATCATTCGACGCGTGGATGACACTGCGTGACAAATGGTTTTTGATCCGCCTTTGCTTTTTGCAGGCTTATAGGTGTGTTGTGGTAGTTCGTGAAGGCATTAGTTGTTTTGTTGCCCAACGCTCAGCAAGCAATGTCATGCTGCCATGCCATGCAAATTGATTTGGCGAGCAGGTTGCCAGCGTGTGCGTGTTGCCAAGGTCCTTGACGTTTGCAGATGAGGCCTTGCACATTTTGAGCACCATCTTGACGTGTTGTGGATCACAAACCCCATTCAGGCGCTTTGGGTGCTTGCTTCCCAGCCTTCTGGCGGCGGTATTGTTGTACGCCGGAGCTGCAAACCTGTCAGGGTCCCAAGTCTTTGTTTGGCTGATCACATTTGTATGTGCTTGTGGCGTTCATTGCAAACGTGGCATTGCCAATGGCACACGTTCATGCAGTAGTGCCACAAACGGCAAATCAAACCAAACCCACTTGTGCTGCGTCCGGTTGAACTGCTTTCAAGAGTTTTACGCTGAGGTCCAGATGCTTCGTCGTCAGCAATGCTGCTACAGGCTGGTGCTGAGAGAGGTGGCAAATGGTTGGTCGGTGTAAGGAACCAGTTGCGCATCGCACACAACGAGGTTTGTGAATGGGCGGCTGAATGCGTCGACAGCACATGATAGAATACGTGGTCTTCAAGCACGCTTGGCTGCTTTGCACCTCCATATATTCGGGAGTTCGCCAGGGCTGTGTGAACACATCAGTGAGAGAGCAAATCGCAGTGTCTCTCTCCGCTGTCTCGGGCCAGGTGTGGGCTCTCGTGTGTCAAGGGCCTGAATCCCAGAACGACTTTGCGTGAGTTAAGATGAAATCAACATGTTTTTGACCATAAACTAAAAAATACCTCGTTATCTTGGCTGCAATGGCAAGACAAGGGGGCAAGACCAAGCACGCACGAAATAATGTTCGCGTGCAGCATGAACATCGCAGCAACATGAGCAACAGACAGTATTACCATGATCCGGTTTGTTTGGGGATGACCTCGGGGATGGGGAGAAACCAGTTGACAGCTGACCCACTCGCAAATATCATCAATTGCTATGATGCTGGTGGTCCTTGTATTTCGACTTGAGGCAGCTGTACAGCTGGATGTTCCCATGAAAGAGGCGGACCTGATACAGCCGAGCGAGGAGCGGGCGCTCATGGCCGACAGTGTTGGCACCGGCGTCTGCATGGGGTATTGAGTGGGACGTGCCCCCCGAGACGTTGGGTGCAATGCGTAGCAATCCTCGTAACGTCGTACCTGTGGTTCTGCTGGCACTCGGAGTGCGCCAAAGGAACCGAGCAGATCCAGCTACTTGTTCGGCTTCGTTCCCTTTGCTGAGCAGCTCAATGGTCGCGTGCCTCACTCAGCATGTAGCTCCATTGCAGGCAGGATTGGGGGATTGGGCCAAAGAAGAACAGTGCCGTGCGTTTCTTTTTCCCTTTGTTTGCCAGTCTGGAGAAGGGTCATGAGACATGAGACGTGCTGTAACTGGGGAATTTATTGTTTCAGGTGAATCACGGACAGATCGGTGGGTCACTCACCACCCAGGGTTGCCAAATCAAAAAACAATGGCCATATGGGGCTAGCGGGCAGCAGCTTGAGATTGCCATGATCTTCTTCTTCGTGTTGATCCTCCAGGAGTACTTCACGGGGAAGGCTCTCACTGGTTCCGGGTGTCATGGAGATGGGCTGCGAGCCTTGCTTGGCAGGGCCTCTTCGAGCTTGCGGGCGAAATCTTGGGCGGGAGCAGCTGAGGGAGGCAGGAAATGGAAAGTAGGTTACAAGCCGTGGCAAGGCCTGTCAATCTAGCTGCTTGGCTTCTTGAATTTGGTAGATGGCAACTAGTGGAAACAAGAGGCGGGCCCTTGCTCCAATCCGATCGGGGTTTGCCCTTCGCAGGTTCAGCACTGGCAGCTGAGCGGCCCATGTCTCACGAAATTGCGCTGGCAGCTTGTACGGCACGGCCGACCAGCGGGGGGCTGTGAATTTGCGCCCGCAAGTTTTCAGATGATTTTCGCCGTGATGGCTGAGATGGAAAATGCAGGTACAGGATTTGCAGATCAAGTTTGCAGTTCCTTGAAGTTCCTTGTGTCTAAAGCTTTGCAGCAGATTGGGCTGCCACAAGAAGCTCCTTGTCTCGCAGTTTCCTCACTCTTCCTGTTTATCTCTCATGCTCCTTACAGTTGTCCTGTCTTTTGCTTATCATTGCTTGCAATGAACCTGACAGGCCACGATCGGTCTATGCTTGGTTTTGAAGAGCATTCCATTCTACTTGCAATGTATTTGTCAGCATTTGCGCTTTGTGCAAGTGCTCATCAGCCATGCCCAGTTAGTATTCCTTCATGGGTTATGGGGCATACTGACCTGACTCCACGCCTTGTCTCCACGCACGGATGCTGTGGATGGGGCTCAGGGGCGCGCCCGGTCATTTTTGGTTTAGCGAGAAGGACGCCACGAGGAGGTGCCAGACGCAAGACGTCTGTTTGGATTCGGTTCGTCTGAAGACCGAGTAGCGATTCCTCTTGCTATCGGCATCAACTTTTTTTTGGATACGAAGGCTCCGCATCCATCCAGAGGGCTTGGAGAACCCAAGCTGGGGTGTATATATATATATACATATATATATATATGTGCAATATATTATATATATATATATATATATACATATATATATATAATATTCCACTGTCTCAGCTTCCTCTAATTTGGCAGGCCTTGTTTTGTGGCGTTATCCCGGGGATTGGTGGTTGCGGCAGGGCACATGTTTCAGGCCATGCCGACCTCCCGCAAGACTGCGCTCAAGTCTGCCCTGGGCCTCAGTGCTGAAAAGATCATTTTCACGGAGCATAGCTTTTTGATTGTGGTATGTTCCTATATATATATATATATATATGTAGATATGGAGGTGCACACGTGGCACTGACAGGTTTTCATGCAGTCTCCAACCTGGCCTGAGTTCTTATGTAGTCTGTTGCATCAGGCCCAGTACGAGAAGAACATTGGAAAAGGAGGGCCAAGCTGCTTGGTTGCAGCTGTTGGCTACGCGCAGCATGCAGCGGCTTCTCTTTCAGCACATTTTTGTTGGGCATCAAAGGCCTATGTAGGCGTGTCATCAAATAGGCAAGCCCCAACATCTCCCCAAACAATATCCTAAGAAACAGACACACCCAAGAAGTTGGAACATATTGGCTTTCTGTTTTGGTCAGCAAGAATACGAGTGGACTAGATTTGGACCAACCTTTCGAACTGCAGAGACATGAAGTTCTTGTCACCATTTGCACTTGGCATTAGGCAATTCTGGGAAGAAGGAACAGTCCAGCACCCAGCTAACACTGAAGATGAAGATTGAAAAGTTCTTCGCAGGATGGGCAAATGTTCAGCCAGCCTAAGGAGCAGTTTCACCGTGGGCCCTGTCGTGTTGGCCGTGTTCCTGTTTGTGGTGGCACGGAGCTTAGAATGAGTCAGGAAGTGCTGGTTTGTGTTTGTGCACGCCGGAAGCAGGTCGGATCAGCGGTCATCCAGATCATTGCGAGCGCGCAGAAAGGCTTGGTGTCCTTCAGAGATCTTCCGCGAGTGATTGGCTCTGCTGTCAGGTTTGATTTGATGCGGTTAGTCGACTGAAAGTGGCGGTGGCCTGAGAGAATCGCATGCGTGATTTTATTCAAGAGCAGCACTTGATTTTTTCATGAATCCTGTTCGACGCCTTACAAGCTCTGAGGTGCAGGTTTGAAGCAATGCCACTAAATCTCAAAATGCAGCTCCCGCAAGCAGGGCACTGTGAGGAATGATCACCGCCTTGGAATACGATCAGCTAGCAAAACTGCCTGGACTTCTATTTTTTGAGCCTTGTTTCTTCTGCCTTGTGGAGACAAACACAGTGAATTCCTTGTCATAGAACATGTCCAGGCAGAAGCAAGGTTGTACAAACTTCCCCAGGGAGTGATGCCCTTGCTACCAAGAGACCGGTGTGGTCTCTGAAAGCGCAGACGTGCTAAAAAATGCACGCACATCCAATGGACCGATACCCGTTCAATGAATTCTGGAGCACTGCTTGTTGTTTGAGTTTTAGCTAGAGTCTTTGCTTGGATTCATTCACACTGAATCGCAAGACTTGGCTCAAGCTACACACATTAGATGCAAGGTGTTGACCGGCTTGGATTGCACAAGCGGTTTGAAATGTCCTTGCTTGAAGAGGCACAGATCGAAAGCTTGCTTCAGCTGGCCTTTTGCCAATCACCTAGGACTCAGATTCACGGTCGGGCCGTCGGGCTTAGCCCCTGATGGCGGATCGATGTCGCCCTCTCCCGGCTCAAAGGTGGCAAGCCGTGCCATCAAGGCCAGCTTGGATGCCATACTGTGCCTTGCTTGCACCAGAGCTTGGCAGGTAAAAATAGGCAAGGCGAACTGCCAGCTTTCCGGCTTTCCATCGGCTGCAAGAAAGCTTCTGACCGATTTGCCGAGGGCGAGCATGGATGAAGACTCCGAGTATGTGCAGCTCGTCGCGCACCACCGGAGGAAGTTCAAGGTCCCTTGGGAGGCCAGCGGTGGAATGCCTGCAAGCTGGCAACTTCCGGTCGTTCTGGAGGAGATGCACTCCTTTCTGGAGCAGCTGTGCCGGAGTTGCTTGTCCGTCCTCACCGCACAACAAGGCCTAAGATGGGATGGGCCTTGATTCCTTGATACAGATGATTGAGGAGTGCGAAGAGAGCACAATATGATTCGGTACTATCTCCGAAACAAAAAGCAAGTTTTGAAGAAATTTGTGCTGAGGCCCGAAGTACACGTCCAGAATTCAGAATTCAGATCTGGTTGTGTTCACTTTCCAACGAATGCGGCTTGGAGCCTCTCAGCCTCGGAGCCAGGCCGTGACCACATGGCCATGCAGCTGCGCAGGCTTCAGCAGGATCTGAAGCGCGAGCGAGAAGATGCTCGGCTCACACGCCGGAGTCGCGGCGTGTTATTTGGCAACCCTTACGGTTTACAAGGACTGCACATTTTGGAGGCCCCGCATTTGGAGAAAAACACATGTGGGTTTGGTGCAGCCTGGGTTGCTTAGCCCTGCCTTTGGTGGCAGTGTGACTTGAAGTTTGATAGTGGATTGCGATTTGAAGTGACTCATGCGATTAGTGCACAAAGGTTGTTCTTCTCTTGAACTACAGGTTTTGAAGGGAGATGATTAAGAGCGTTAATTTGCCAAGGACTTCAAAGCAAAGCTGGTCGAGTGCAACCTCACCGCCAGCCCCCTTGCTTCTGACCATGTTAGCACGTCATTAGCGAGATTGACCCGCACGCAATGCGATAGTAAATCTTGTTCCGAAGCTTGTCATGGATGTGCCAGCTCGCGCTGGTTGCGGCATGCTTGGCTTGAAACCGGTTTGTTGCCAATTCGGGACCCACAGAAGCCGGCTTCATTTAACAGCCACAACAGGGTAGCCTCAACAAAAGGGGATACTCAAATCTGGCTGTGCCAAGGCGTTGAAGCAACTGGATGTGGTGCGCTGCCTCGGTTGCTGCTGTGAGCTACACGCAGAAACATTGGTTTGTGTGTCATTTTCGTTGGGGTTTCAAGATTGCTTTGTTCATTCCTGATTAAGACCGAGAGATCTTCTGTGCATAGCAGCTTTTGCTGCTTTGCTGTGAGCCAACTCCAGTGTTAGGCCTGCTGCACGCAGTCTCCCCACCCAGCCAACCACGAACTTTGGAGCTTTCTTGTTTGATGTATGGAAAACAGTTGGACTCCGGTTTGATTCCAGCGTCCCTTGGTGCGGTTCCCAGTCGTCAAAAAACGTGATGCGGGACGGATGGCGGATTTTCTTCCCCTGTGTTGCTAGGCAAAAGGGGGCTCTGGAAGCTGGGAAGACAATGACAAGGTCATTTTTTATGCAGCCTGGCAGCACATGGGGCCAGATGATGCCAATTCGCTGCAGACCTGCCTGTGTTTTTTACCTTGACGTGCGGTTTATTGTTTGGGGAGATGGGTGGACCCCAATTTTCGGGAACTCCTCCTTTGCTTGGGCCATCCCAGAGCCGAAGGAGCCCATGAAGTACCTCAGCGAGGTCTGTGGGGGTTTGGACTCGGCCGCCCATCTCAGGAACAAAGATAGCCAGAACGTCTGCATCGCTTCAATTCTGAGTTTTTGTGTTTTTCGTGGCTTTGATGGTTGTCAAATTCACTCTTGGAGGCAAGCGTGATGTTGGCCACCTTTGTGAGGCAATTGTTGAGGGTGTCACTTTGACCTGAACACAAGAAGAGTCTAAGCCGTTCTGCAATTCAACATTGCTGAGCTAATCTTGAGACACAAGTTCAGCATGTCCGTGCCATTCCCCCATGCAGTTGCGTTTGTTCTGTGAGGTCCAAACATACGATGTGCTGAATTGCTTGCTTGATATGTTTTGATTCAAAGCTCTTGGAACGGCTTTGTCTGAGCATGATATCAGCAATGGTCAATGTTTACTGTCCTCTACTGGTAAAAGGGAATGCCATTGGGTCACTCACCAAAGTCCCATGTCAGTTGGGGCCACGTGAATCTTGACCCTGACTCGACCCTGACTCATATAGCGCATGTATCACATGTCTATATGTATGTCAAGAGGAGATTCCAATCGTGCTTGTTTGAAAAGGCACACTTACTTGTAGCTGGCATATGTTAAATTTAATGGCTTGGCCGGCTATACAGGGTCGACATCCAGTGCTAGTATTAGATATTTTTGATAGGGCAGCCTCGGGATATCATAGCACGTGCGAGAAGCGATGGTACCTTTTTCCCAGAAGCATCTCTGATGCTTGGGTTCTGCTTTAGGTTTTCTCTTAAGGTGCCTGGGAGCGATACAAGCTGTGACGACGGAGATAAGAAGGGATTTCCATTTCGTTGTGCTGCAGACCGGGCGTGCGATGCCGGCTGGGGGTGCAGACCGGGCGTACGAGGCTGGCTGGGGGGACGGCGGTGTGGGGCTGGCTGGGGGGACGGCGGTGTGGTGCAGACTGGGTGCGCGAGGCTGGCTGGAAACTGCCCGCGAGCAAGACTGGCTGGCTGGGGGGACGGCGGTGTGGTGCAGACTGGGCGCGCGAGGCTGGCTGGAAACCGCCCGCGAGCGAGACTGGCGCGGTGGACGCTCGTGACATGCGGAAACCGCCCGCGAGCGAGACTGGCGCGGTGGACGCTCGTGACATGCGGAAACCGCCCGCGAGCGAGACTGGCGCGGTGGACGCTCGTGACATGCGGAAACCGCCCGCGAGCGAGACTGGCGCGGTGGACGCTCGTGACATGCGGAAACCGCCCGCGAGCGAGACTGGCGCGGTGGACGCTCGTGACATGCGGAAACCGCCCGCGAGCGAGACTGGCGCGGTGGACGCTCGTGACATGCGGAAAACGCCCGCGAGCGAGACTGGCGCGGTGGACGCTCGTGACATGCGGAAACCGCCCGCGAGCGAGACTGGCGCGGTGGACGCTCGTGACATGCGGAAACCGCCCGCGAGCGAGACTGGCGCGTGGACGTTCGTGACATGCGGAAACCGCCCGCGAGCGAGACTGGCGCGGTGGACGCTCGTGACATGCGGAAACTGCCCGCGAGCGAGACTGGCGCGGTGGACGCTCGTGACATGGGGAAAGCGCTCGCGAGCAAGACTGGCCCGGTGGACGCTCGTGACGTGCGGAAACCGCTCGCGAGCGAGACTGGCGCGGTGGACGCTCGTGACATGCGGAAACCGCCCGCGAGCGAGACTGGCGCGGTGGGCGCTCGTGACATGCGGAACACGCCCGCGAGCGAGACTGGCGCGGTGGAGCGGAAAGCGCCCGCGAGCGAGACTGGCGCAGTGGACGCTCGTGACAGAAACCGCCCGCAAGCGAGACTGGCGCGGTGGACGCTCGTGACATGCGCAAACCAAACCGCCCGCGAGCGAGACGGATGCTCGTGACATGCGGAAACCGCCCGCGAGCGAGACTGTCCTCGTGACATGCGGAAACCGCTTGCGAGCGAGACTGGCGCGGTGGACGCTCGTGACATGCGGAAACCGCCCGCCAGCAAGACTGGCGCGGTGGGCGCTCGTGACATGCGGAAACCGCCCGTGGGCGAGACTGGCGCGGTGAACGCTCGTGACATGCGGAAACCGCCCGCGAGCAAGACTGGCGCGGTGGACGCTCGTGACATGCGGAAAACGCCTGCGAGCGAGACTGGCGCGGTGGACGCTCGTGACATGCGGAAACCGCCCGCAAGCGAGACTGGCGCAGGGGGCGCTCGTGACAGGAAGAAACCGCCCGCGAGCCAGGCGGAAACCGGCGCGGTGGATGCTCGTGACATGCGGAAACCGCCCGTGGGCGAGACTGGCGTGGTGGGACGCTCGTGACATGCGGAAACCTCGCGAGCGAGACTGGCGCGGTGGACGCTTGTGACATGTGGAAGCCGCCCGTGAGCGAGACTGGCGCGGTGGACGCTCGTGACATGCGGAAACCGCCCGCGAGCGAGACTGGCGCGGTGGACCCTCGTGACATGCGGAAACCGGCGCGGTGGACGTCGTGACACGCGGAAACCGCCCGAGAGCGAGACTGGGAAGCCGCCCGCGAGCGAGACTGGCGCGGTGGACGCTCGAGACATGCGGAAACCGCCTCCGAGCGAGACTGGGGGACGCTCGTGACATGCGGAAACCGCCCGCAAGCAAGACTGGTGCGGTGGACTCTCGTGACATGCGGAAACCGCCCCCGAGCGAGACTGGCGCGGTGGACGCTCCTGACAGGCGGAAACCGCCCGCGAGCGAGACTGGCGCGGACTCTTGTGACAGGCGGAAACCGCTCGCGAGCGAGACTGGCGCGGTGGACGCTCGTGACAGGCGGAAACCGCCCGCGGGCGAGACTGGTGCGGCGGGCGCTCGTGACATCGGAAACTGCCCGCGAGCGAGACTGGCGCGGTGGACGCTCGTGACATGCGGAAACCGCCCGCGAGCGAGACTGGCGCGGTGGACGCTCGTGACAGGCGGAAACCGCCCGCGAGCCAGGCAGAAAGCGGCGCGGTGGATGCTCGTGACATGCGGAAACCGCCCGTGGGCGAGACTGGCGTGGTGGAGGCTCGTGACATGCGGAAAACGCCCGCGAGCGAGACTGGCGCGGTGGACGCTCGTGACATGTGGAAACCGCCCGTGAGCGAGACTGGCGCGGTGGACGCTCGTGACATGCGGAAACCGCCCGCGAGCGAGACTGGCACGGTGGACGCTTGTGACATGCGGAAACCGGCGCGGTGGACGCTTGTGACATGCGGAAACCCGCCCGAGAGCGAGACTGGCGCGGTGGACGCTCGTGACATGCGGAAACCGCCCGCAAGCGAGACTGGCGCGGTGGACGCTCGTGACATGCGGAAACCGCCCCCGAGCGAGACTGGCGCGGGGGACGCTCGTGACATGCGGAAACCGCCCGCAAGCGAGACTGGTGCGGTGGACGCTCGTGACAGGCGGAAACCGCCCGCGAGCGAGACTGGCGCGGTGGACGCTCGTGACGGCGGAAACCGCCCGCGAGCGAGACTGGCGCGGACGCTCGTGGCAGGCGGAAACCGCCTGCGAGCGAGACTGGCGCGGTGGACGCTCGTGACAGGCGGAAGCCGCCCGCGAGCGAGACTGGCGCGGCGGACGCTCGTGACATGCGGAAACCGCCCGCGAGCGAGACTGGCGCGGTGGACGCTCGTGACATGCGCAAACCGCCCGCGAGCGAGACTGGCGCGGTGGATGCTCGTGACATGCGGAAACCGCCCGCGAGCGAGACTGGCGCGGTGGACGCTCGTGACAGGCGGAAACCGCCCGCGAGCGAGACTGGCGCGGTGGATGCTCGCAACATGCCGGCGAGCGAGACTGGCGCGGTGGACGCTCGTGACATGCCGGCGAGCGAGACTGGCGCGGTGGACGCTCGTGACATGCGGCAACCGCCACGTGCGCGGTGAACAGCCCGGCGCTCCAGGTACGCCATATAATTGGCCTTTTTGCCGCACACCTGACCCGAACAAACGGTGCCAGTGTGTTTCTAGGACGAACCCTGCCTTCAGAAGCTGTGGCCTCGTGGGGTTCGCCCTACTTATTTGGAAGCAGCCTGGAAGCACGTTGACATGAATATGCTGAGCACACTCGGCCCAAACAAAAGGGCGCATGAACATCCGAACAGCTGACCCCGGTCTACGCAGATCGTGGTAACAACTTGTTTCAGACAGGCGTCAGACCCACCAAGTGACCAAGGCTTCTCCACACCGAGCCCCCCGCAAAAGCGCAGCGCCGGCCCCGTCTCCACACACCTGCGGCGAATCCACCCAACTTGCCATCCACACGCATCCAATTGCGCGCGGCCCTTTCCACAAAGTCACCAGTTGCAATTGGTTGCGAATGGGAAAATAGGTGGAGAAACTAACGAATCCAAGCAAGCTTACGAAGCAAGTTTGTGAAGGCCACGTGCACGGCTCCATGTGAACAGCCCGGCGTTCCAGGTGCGCCAAAATTGTCATTTTTGCCGCACACCTGACCCGAACAAATGGTGCCAATGTGTTTCTAGGACGAACCCTCTCTTCAGAAGCTGTAGCCTCTTGGGGTTCGCCCTACTTATTTGGAAGCAGCCTGGAAGCACGTTGACATGAATATGCTGAGCACACTCGGCCCAAACAAAAGGGCGCATGAACATCCGAACAGCTGACCCCCTACGCAGATCGTGGTAACACTGTGTCTCAGACTTGTTTTGGACAGGCGTCAGATCCACCAAGTGACCGAGGCTTGTCCACACCGAGCCCCCCGCAAAAGCGCAGCGCCGGCCCCGTCTCCACACACCTGCGGCGAATCCACCCAACTTGCCATCCACACGCATCCAATTGACAACGTGCGCGGCCCTTTCCACAAAGTCACCAGTTGCAATTGGTTGCGAATGGGAAAATAGGTGGAGAAACTAACGAATCCAAGCAAGCTTACGAAGCAAGTTTGTGAAGGCCACGTGCACGGCTCCATGTGAACAGCCCGGCGTTCCAGGTGCGCCAAATTGTCCTTTTTGCCGCACACCTGACCCGAACAAATGGTGCCAATGTGTTTCTAGGACGAACCCTCTCTTCAGAAGCTGTAGCCTCTTGGGGTTCGCCCTACTTATTTGGAAGCAGCCTGGAAGCACGTTGACATGAATATGCTGAGCACACTCGGCCCAAACAAAAGGGCGCATGAACATCCGAACAGCTGACCCCGGTCTACGCAGATCGTGGTAACACTGTGTCTCAGACTTGTTTCAGACAGGCGTCAGACCCACCAAGTGACCGAGGCTTGTCCACACCGAGCCCCCCGCAAAAGCGCAGCGCCGGCCCCGTCTCCACACACCTGCGGCGAATCCACCCAACTTGCCATCCACACGCATCCAATTGACAACGTGCGCGGCCCTTTCCACAAAGTCACCAGTTGCAATTGGTTGCGAATGGGAAAATAGGTGGAGAAACTAACGAATCCAAGCAAGCTTACGAAGCAAGTTTGTGAAGGCCACGTGCACGGCTCCATGTGAACAGCCCGGCGTTCCAGGTGCGCCAAAATTGTCATTTTTGCCGCACACCTGACCCGAACAAATGGTGCCAATGTGTTTCTAGGACGAACCCTCTCTTCAGAGTCTGTGGCCTCTTGGGGTTCGCCCTACTTATTTGGAAGCAGCCTGGAAGCACGTTGACATGAATATGCTGAGCACACTCGGCCCAAACAAAAGGGCGCATGAACATCCGAACAGCTGACCCCGGTCTATTGAGATCGTGTTGTAACACTGTGTCTCAGACTTGTTTCAGATGGGTGTAGAGCGAGCTTATGCCTTGCTTACAATTTGGGAGTGGTAGTTTGTGCGGATCCATTTTCGGATTTCTGCGATTGGTTCTTCATGATGAATCGGATGACTCCGTGCCTGCCATGTAGTGCGGGGCCTGTCATGTTTCACCCGTGCCTGTGCCTTTTTCTCTGTGCTTGGTCAGAGCACAGGCTGCTGGCTGCCAATCCGGCTTGAGTTGCGGTTGCTCCCCTTCTTCATCTGTTTTGGGGTTAATTTCCCAACTGTGAAAAACTTAAATCTTGGTTTTCCTTCGGACCCTTGAGCCGGAAAACGACGGGATCCGCATGCCATGGGGAGTGAGGCTGGTTTGCTTTTGGGTTCCCGGGCTCCTCTTGTTTTGGCGGCGGGTGTCAGGGAGCCGCTCAGCAACCACAGCAACCACAACAACCACAGGTACACCAACCACAACCACCACCATCACTACAACTGTCACCACAACCATGACGCGTGGAGCCCGCGAGGCCCACAGAGACCTGGTGCTGATGGTCGTCAAGGCGGGCGCCGAATACCGTTGACGGAGCCCAAGGCATGGACGATGCAATTATGTGTATGTAGATTTATCATGATATTATACACATATACTAGAAATAGAGAACAATATGTATATCTATATGTTTTTAGTGACCCCGCTTTGGAGAGACCACCAATCCGAGTCCACCTTCAGGGTCGCGAAATGGGGGTGGTTTCTAGTGGAGCGTAGCCCAAAGCGGTCGCGTCACACTCCCACACTCAGAACTCCGCCACTCCCAGATCGCAGTCAGGAAAAGCTGCGGCAGCTCCTGGAGGGCACGGCGCCTGGCAGCTTCCTCTCGGAGCTGCAGCGCTCGCTGGGCCTGGCGCGGGGCCCCAGATTCTAGATGCAGCCAGGTGTCCATGGCAACCCCGACTTGGACACAAGGCGGATTTCTGCACCAAAAAGCACGGAGACCTATGAAGAGGAAATGATAGGCAGGTACTGGATTGGGACGTGCTCATAAGTCAAACGCGTGCACCTGACCACCATGTCTACAAGCACATGGGATACCCAGGACCCAGCGAGCCTGCGGCAGGAGCGAGAGAGATCTTATGGCGTACACGCGCGCTGCATTTGGCTTGACGGGTAAAATCGAAAGGATTTTGACTTCATTTTCGGACCACGCCAAAGAGGTCCCAAATCTTGCCATTCCCACTTTTCGGCATGCCTGCTTTCGGGCTTGGCCAATCAAACTATATGGTTTCAGCAGGTGACGGGTTTGCAAGGAGTCTGGCCAGAAGGCTGAAGACGTGGAGGAGGATGATGAGGAGGAGGAGGACAGAGGGGAGGTAACTGAGTGGCGTTTGTTGGTCCACAGCAATCTTTTGAAAGCCGAAGAATCTATGGGAGAGAGACGCATACACGCCCACACACGTCAATGCTTGCCAGGAGAACCATGCCGGGAGGCCCTGAGCAAAGAGGGGCATGTATGAATTTGGAACTCTTTAGAATGGTGGTTGTATGGTTGATGCCGTGTTGGTCGGCCAGGCAAGACCGGTGTTCAGCCAGGAGCTTTCTGCTGGCAAATCCTTTCAATGGGTCAATCTCCTTTCCAAGGCTTGACTCCTGAACTCGCAAGGCTTTCTTCGCCTGCAAAGTCCCAAGTCTAGGTCAACATGGACACAGTCTTGGGGTCAAGGCTCAAGATTGATTTGAAAGGACCCCAGCTATACACGAGTGGCGCCCACCGTCGCCATTGGATCTGGTTTAACACAGCGATCATTAATGACAGGTCTTTAGATGGATGACAGATTGTAGTTGGGGGCACGCCGAAGTTGTGATTGGCATGAGCAATCAGCCTTTCAGGTTGGACTTTGAGCTGAGGCTTTGGAAGTTGCCCGCGCTGCAGCGCGGCGCGCACAAGCGCCGGTCCCAAGTAGAGGGGGCGGCGGGTCAGAGTTGTTGTAGAGCAGAACATTCGACGAGATCGCCGTTGTTGTTTCACTGTATGTCCAGGCTGAGACAAGCATCGTTTGTATTGTCTTGCAGCCAGATAGAGGGAAGCCAACCACATGGTTGAGAGGGTTTCCTCCATTTCAGGACCCTCCAAAGCTTTTGAGGAACCCCCAAAATCTGCCTTCGCATCTTAGACGCCATCAGGATCTACTGGCGGTCAGCTCGAAGGAGTTGGAGGAGACGAAGAAGTCTCTGGTGCAACTCCAAGTGCAGGTCGAGGAGAGAGGCGCGCTCTACGCTTCCCAAGCTCTACGTAGCTAACAGAGTCAAGCAGATAGGAAACGGCTGCCTTGCTCCTCCATTTCCGCGTTTGCAGGGTACCCTCAAAACAACTACATTTCTTGTTTGCTTCTGGCGCTGACACGTTTTGTTTTTTTGTCTTTTTTTCCCGGGCGCCTTGGAATCCATGGGCTGCTTGCCATGGAGTTGCCAGGGGCGGCTCTGGCGGAGGCCCAGCAGCAGCTGGAGGCCGGGGAGCGGTACCGCCAGCAGCTGGTGCAGGCCATGGACCGCCTCAAGGCGACGGGTTTTGCCGTTTCGGGTGGGCTTTTTTGGATTGAGGGGTTCCATTCTTTTTTTTTGGGGGGGTTTGAGTTGTTCTGTGTTTTTTTGGTTTTGCGGCCTGGTTACATTTTTTTGGGGTTCCCCTGTTCTGCTGTTCTGAAACACACTCATGTGTGCGGAAGTGGGAGTCCTTCCCTTGAAACCATGCCAAATGGGGCTCCTTATCTAGAGACAAGCCCAATTTTGATTTTGGATGGAACACCAACTCGACTATGGTTGGCGGACAGAAACCTCCATGACATCTGATGACTCACTGACGGCCGCCAAAGGTCGCCAATTCAACCTCATTCCCACTTCCTGGTGGTGACGGTCGCACAAATCCATCCTCTGGTCGTGGTTGCAGGGCCCCGCCCCATAGAAAAGACAAAATAAGGCATGGGGGACTCCAAACTAAGAGGTGTGTGTGTGTGTGTGGGGGGGGACCTTTTTCAGTGGGGCTCTGATGCATGGGATGGAAGGGAGTGGGCAGATGTGGGGCGTTTTCAACTGTTTTCAAGAACAGTGTTGCAGTTGCTGAAGAACAGTGTTCGTGTACACTGCCAGTTTTTTTTTATCAGTGGTGGCTCAAAAAGCAAGCAGTTGGCCATGTTTCCGAGCCGGGTCTGGCTTGGGCCAGCTCCACTGGTTCCTGTGGTGTTCGCTCGGGTGAGAACGTTGCCACCTCATTTGTTGAGCCCTGGGGGCAAGGGCTGTGCTTTCCAGTGCTCAGTTGGGAGGTTGCAAGCATAAGATGCTAAGCGAGTCTACACAATTCATCAAACAAACTCAAGGGTCGGCTTGCGTATGCAGGAAGCGATCATTCAGCAGTTGGCGGAGCAAAGCACAAACTATGGACAATTCAAAAACTGTCTATTTGATTTCTTTGTGGCCGGTTTGTTTGAAGGCGAAGAGGACGAGAGAAAACCAGAGCCGTGTTAAGAGAGTGCTAAGAGCTGATTGGCACAGAAGAAGGAGAACATGTGGCTGCTTTGGCTGACACATGTTTTTGCTGTTGACCATGCGGTGGCAGGATCAAATGCAATTGACAAGTGGCAGGTGGTTAACGCTGCTGCAGCCCAAAGTTGCACTGAATTTGCCAAAGTGGTTTGGTTTGGGCCGTGGGCCGCGATCATAGTTTAGGCTTACCACGACTGCTTTCCTTCAGCTTCAACCACTTGTTTATTGGGGGTTGAGCAATTTAGGCGGCACTCCAAATGTAATAATTTCATCACACCACACCTCAAATCTCGCTTCACATAGAGCTAGAGGTATGCATTTTGCTGAAGTCGGGCATTGACTACGTAGTGTTCTATTTTCTATATGTATCAACACCATGTTGCGAAATACTTTGCTTTCATCGGAGATGATCCTTTAGATAGAAAGGCTGACGCCTTGCTCCTTGGTTTGTTCCCTTGATGGGTAGATTTGTCTGATGTATTTTCCGTTCCCGTTTGGTGGATTCTTTGGCTGACCCGGTCAGAAATGCTCGGCAGGACCAGGGTCTGGAGCCTATGGAGGCCACCTTCGTGCTCTCGGAAACCTTCGCTTCCCTGGACGGGACCTTCACCGATTTCGAGTCTCTCTTCGAAAACGCCCCGGAGGATGGGGATGAGACGTGCGATTTCCGAGCGCGGAGCATGGACAAAAGTGGTAAGTGGAAGGGCCAATGCCTTGGGGGAGCCAAGCCTTGCAGGACTGCACCTCAGAGAACGTGGCGCAGTGGCACCGGCAGCACGGGATCCAGTCCTTGGTGTCCGTGGACATCCAGCCGGATGCGGTTCGGCGCCGCAGCAGCTTGCGGTGCAGGTATCAAGACCCGCAGGAGGCCCAGGCGGCTTCGCCGTGAGATTGGGCTCGTTTTGTTTTTGTTCCATAGCTTGGGTACACTCCTCACATTGTTCTGGATCCGGTCCACTGGATCCAAGGAAGCTCTGCAGCTGCTGCAAGACACGGTGGTCACCTCTGAGGGTGGCCAGTCGCAGGTCCATGCCAAGCGCGCGGGCGAGGGGCTGGTGGCAAGGGTCAAGAGCAAGGCCAGGGGCAAAGTCGAGGAAGCCGATGGCAAGGCGAAAACGGAGAGGGCCGAGAGCAAGGGCATTGACAAAGTTAGAGAGGAGCTGCGCAAAGGTTCCCAAGCGGATGGGCTGTGCGCTACAGGGGATGGGTTCCGTGAGGGGAAGAGAGAGACTTCAAAGCCGCGACGGGCAGATCTGCAGGCAGAGGTGGCACAAAAGAGCCAGCAGCTAGAGGAAACAACAGAGGAGAACAAGAAGCTGAAAGTGTGCTTGGAGGAGCTGCAGGCAAAGGTGCGACAGCTCATGGGAAACTGCAAGGAGAGAGGCATGGAGAAAGAGATCGATGAGATTGCAACCAATATTGGCCTGAAGCGGGTTTTGTCATGCCCCTCGCGCTTTGATATCCTGTACCAGGACCGGTCAGCCTTGTTATTATTTGAACGAAGCCTGGTCCGACGAAGTCTTGCCAGTTGCCAGCCGGATGATATCCCGCACTTTGGTCCAGTATCCTCAAATCTCAACCAATGCTTTTTGAAAAGATGCAATCGAGTAACATCAGCCTGGGCAGTGAAGCTGCCAACAGTGCCAAGCCTTCCCATCGCCTTCTAGATCTGATCTTGGAGGGTGTGCAGTTGGAAGCGTGGTTTCATGGAAGCCAAAGGGAAACTGACGACTCGTCGTTCGGGTCCAATGTCAGTTTTAAGATGTACCTTTTATACTGCCAACAGCAGCTGGACACGGTTGTGCAAAGAGCCCGAACCATTCTGGTGCTTTTTGTTGGGACTCCCATGGGAAGGAAACCAGGGAACCATTCTTGGGTTTCCATTCTTCATTTTGAGGCAAATCCGGTTCTTGTATCCTGTCATTGGGTCCAGAAAGCGACATCCTCAAGATCACCCTCCACATCGTCAGGGTTTTCACCCGCGAAGTTTGTTTTGAGAACCCCTCAACATGTGACCACTTCAAGGCTTCCGAATGAGTAAAAGTGGGGGGGTCCTTGGGTATTATTCTTTGGGGGCCCTTCGAAGGAACGGAAGATGCGGGGAAATCGCATGTTCACAGGACGCCTTCCTGCGCATGGAGCGGCTGGAGCGGCTGCGGGCGCAGTTCCAGGCAGAGAGGAGCGGGTCCAACCAGGTGGGGACCTGAGAGAAAGAGAGGGTGTGCGCGTCCGCGTTTTTCCCAAGAAGGGCTCGATTTCCATTGGAAAAACAGCAGCAGAAAAAACCGATTTCCCAAAAAGGGAAAGACACCAATGAACACACGCGGGCACACGAAGTCAAGCAACTAGAGACTGATTTCCAGATGCGCACAACCGCACCCAAGGAAGCGCCGGAGGCTTCGGTGCGGAGCCTCATAGAGCACAGCCCCCTAGTCATTCTGCAGCAGCTGCTCTCAGAGGGCCCGGCGGGCTTCGCTCTGCAGGGTGGCAGCCCCAAGCGCAGGCGCGTATCATTGGGGGGAGGGGGGGGGACTCAGGGACCCCAGCGTGGCTCTTTTCTTTTGGAATGTTTTTCTCGCTGGGTTTGGGTGTTTGGGGTGTTTGGGGGGTTTGAGCGGGCCACCACGGTAGACCCGAGGAAGGATCTATCATTTGGCTTGTCTTTGGCTGTTCTCAGCTTCTTGGTTTCTTTTCTTTGAATCTCTTTTCCAGTGGATTTTTAGTGTTCGGCAGCAAGGCCGCAAAGAAAGCCATATGAACTCAATCAGGGAGTCGCTTGTTGCCCGCCGTAAGTCAATTTAGGAACCAGCAAGGCAGTGTGCAAACGTATTTGATCTGGGGGATGTGCTTTCCGGAAATATTGATACTTCTATTTTGTCACTGGCAAGTTCGTCTCTTTGGGGCACTGCATCGCTCAGGCTGCTGCACTCCCAATCCGAGCGCACAGCTGTGCCTGCCAGCTCTGCCAGCCCTGCCAGCCCCACTGGCCGCAGCCCTGGCGCGGCCACCATCGCCCCCAGACCCTTCCCCCCCAGCGCGCACGCACCCAAAGCGCCGAGCCCCAAAGCACCGCACGCGCCCCGAAGCCCCGTGCTCCCCGGGCTCCGGCCGCGCCTGCACGTGTCCGCCTCTGCTCCAAGCCTGCCGTGCGCTCTGCCTCCGCTCTGGAAGAAGCGGCAGTAAGGTGCGGCAGGAAACCGAAGAAGCCGTTTTTCCCACCTGGGGCCATGTGACTGGGCGCTTCGCCGAGGTCGGCAAGGGCTGTGCAAGGTCCCTGGCCCGAGGTGTTGAAGCACCGGCCTCCCAAGGAGGCCGGAGGCTTGTATTGTAGGTTTATTCGTTGCAGGTTCTCCCTCTGGTGCGTCAAACAACAATCGTATGGTCAGACA